CTCTCCCCCTGCCCCCCCCCCCCCCGCCCCAATTGATTGCAGTACACTTCTAACTTGGCACATGCTATTGCTCCTAAATGTTCCACATGATACAGTGAATTTGTTCCTATAATTAGTGACATCAGCAGTTTGGAAGACTAGAATACATTATAAATACAAAAAGTAAGAAAACATCTTTATTGTCCACCCATCACTTCAACATGTTTTCTGTTCCCATTTAAGGTATACATACTTCTGTTCCTATTTAAAATTGGTCTTTTCTGGTAAAGATGCTAATTAAGACCAGTTTTAGATGTGCACGCTAATGAACTAGCTGTGCCTTTCTAGTAACCTTATGCCACATAGTATAACATTTTTTAAGCTATCTCCTTTCTTTAATGTGTGAGCTAGTGGTGCTTCAGGAACTAAGATGTGGTAAGAGACTGGAATATTAGGCAAAGGGATTCACTTATGCTTATAGCAGTTTCCACAGACTGGCAACAGGAGCAGTGCAGAATTGATAGGGTAAAGGGAGAGAAGGGGCCTAGACTCGAAGTCTCTGGAAGCCTGTATTCCTAGGAGGAAGTAAATCAGGTCCAGCATGGAGGTGCATGTACATGGAAAAATGGAAGAGAGTAGGCAGCTATAGCCGTGGTCTAGTGGTAGTGAAGGCTTGTTTGGGAACAGGTTGGTTTTTTGCTCTGTAGGATAGCAAGGGATAGGATCAATCTTAAAAAAGTATATTCAATCCATGGGGAAACACATTTCTTCCCTAGTAACACTTCCTCAAGGTAACTTAGGAAAAATGATGCTTAGAAACTTAGAAGCAGTTGCAGTGCACGTTTCTTCAGCTGCAGCTGAAAATTATCATGGATGGAATAGGTGCTGGAATTATGTGCTTTGCTCTACCATGCATTTCTATTTGCGTTTAAGGCATTGGTTCTTTGGAACTCCCTGTAGTGTGCTAACTGTGTTTGATGGTTGTTTTTGGGGTTTTTTTCTTGCCTCTAGTTACTGAAACCATGAATCCTGTCTATAGCCCTGGATCTTCTGGGGTTCCCTATGCAAATGCCAAAGGAATTGGTTATCCAGGTAAGCAACCATGCAGTATATCTTACTTTTTGTCTCTCTAAAGCTATGTTTGTTGATTGCTTTGATTAAAATCTAATCAGTAGATACTAAATATATGGTGATAACTTTATTTTACTACATTAACATTTCAGGAGTAAATGGGGCATGTAAGTTACTTGACATTCAGTGTTATATCTGTTTTTCCCAACTAGAGCCTCAAGATAAACTGGCTAAATTAAAATTTCATGTCTTTCAAGGAAACAGTTTGGTCTACTGCTGCCCTATTATTTCCTGCCACTTAATTTCTCTTTTCTCTAGGTTTTTATTGGCAATTGATAGTCTTGAGATCCATGATCACAAAACAGATTTGGAAACATTGTAGGAGGCATTGCAGTAGCTTTTTCATGTATATTTTTAGTGATGGCAAAACCATAGGGACTTATGTGTTTCTCTTTCTCTCTCTCTCTCTTGTTTTCTGGTTCTGTGCTGATGGTTCCTCTAGCCATTGCCTGGTTCTGTCCTTTTTGACATTTTCCTGTAGCCTTAAATCCAGTGGGCGTGTCTACATGTGATTCTTTAATGTGCATTAGCCTAAGCTAATGTGCAGTAAAAATGGCACATGTTGGCTATTCGTGCCTAAATTTGATACCTGCAGATGCAGGTATCAGACTTTGGCATGAATAGTTAAAACGCATTAATAAATGTGTTGATGCGTTAAAGTGCGTTAACGCTCTGTGTCGACTAACTTTAGTCCCAAGTCAGTCTACACACAGCTTTAATGCCTGCACATCTAGTGCCTAAACCCACTTAATGCACATTAAACTAATGCATGTTAAATTTAAACATACTTAAATACGTATGTAAACATACCCAGAGATGGTCATCAGTTTCATTCCTGGTGCCCTGAGGAGTGCAGCAATTGTATCAAATTATTAATTAGGCCAGCGCAGGATTTTCTGGGGAGAAGGATAAAGTGAAGAAACACAAAATACTTCTGGCTTCTGTGAAACATTGCAGGGGATTCTAACGCATTACAGGGGTTTCAAGTCTGGTCTGTGGAGCTGTTTCACATGGCCCATGGGGCTCGTAGAGGGCCTGGGAATTCAGGGGTGGGGTCCACTGCAAAATTCCTAGCTACATGGCCCAGTTGGAAACGTTTTGGTGGTAGAAGTGTGAGCAAAGGCTGTGTTTAATCTCCACGCTTCCACAGTTCACCCTGACACCATTGCCATCTCTGGATCTGGCACGAGTGAGTTTGACATCCCTACTATAGTTGCATGTATACATGTATGTATTTCTGATATATAAGGTTAAGTGAACTCCCCAGTTGCTGCTTTGTACAGCATGATTTTAAATGTCTGGGGCAGTGGAGGCTTTTGTCATCCTGTGGGAGACTATTTCCAGCTCAGCAGGTGTCCCTCTCAGGAACTTGTTCTTAGTTCATGCAGTATTATTTATATTCCCTTTATCCATATTAAATTAACGTCTGGTTCACATGTCTCAGATTTTTTTATAGATGTGTGCCCCCCTGCTTGGGTAAAGCATACATGAAAATGTTTGTTTCAGAAAAGTTAGGAAGTCGAAAGAATTTACTTTTGTTGCTCTTGTGAACTTTCAAGTCTTCCTGACATTTTGGTACATGGAAACAAATACAGTGCTCTAGATATGACACCAGAATTGTACAGAGTGGGACTGTTGCCCCTTCATTTGCTAAATCTTGCTCCTCACTTTCTGGTTTACTGCAACAAAAGTTAAATGCCTACTTCCTTTTAAAACCATTAAAATAGCAACAAGAAAGAGATGGAGAGAACAGTTGCTGTACAGTATGTTGCAGAGCATGAAGCTCTGAAACTCGTAGAAGAGTGGTCTTGTTCTCCACCATAACTAGTTTATTGGTTGTTCCATAAACTACATTAACATTATAATGAGTAGCAGTTTTACACGGAGTTGCCTTTTCTTTGAGACAGGATTGAGTTAAATCAAGGTTTCCTGCTTGTTAATTTAAATTAAGATTAAAATTGTAGATTTAAATTAATTTATTTAAATCCTGCTTTTGATTTGTACTGATTTTCTAAAAAGTTCATTATCATTAATTTGTATAATGATCAAAACACTGATTTGTAATTGGAAATAGGCTTCATGCTAAATTTGATTGTGCATTTTGCTAACCAGGAGGCTACACTATCTTTACCCATTTAAAGCGTTTGAACATAATACATTTAGAAAGTTTCCAGGTTTTCTTTTTATTATGTGTAAAAACAGTGAATTACATGCTTCTGATTTACTGGTTAACTCTTTACACCAGATTTATTAAGTTGCAGTAATGGTTACTCAAGTAATATGAACAAAACCAGTATTTTAAAGTTGCTTTTATTAGTTACTTAAAACTACTTGAAATCTGCTTGACAACAAGAGAGATTTTTTTTTTTCCAAAATGTTTTTACTTTTAGAACATTGATAAAACAAAGGAAAAATTAAATATTGTTAGTAGATTGACAGTTGCCAAATAGGATTTTATATAATGTATAAGCAGAGAATAGTAAAGTTAGACCTTAACATAAGTTGTCTGAAACTCTTAGTTTAAATAGGCGTGGGTTTTTTAATATTTTAAAATTCTTCAAATCTGTTCCATCTGTCCTATTTCCATTTGAAAAAACTTTTTCATTTTTGTTATGTTCTTCACAGTCAGCAAATTAAAAAGCATAGCATCCTAGCTTCGCAAGTTAACTATTGAATTTAATAAATTGATTATTCTCTAGAAGGCATATTTTTTTTTCTATTTCCTCTAAAGGCTTTGAGTACATATATTAGAAATTATTTTTTTGAGAGTTTGAATGCATATTAAATATGAGTTATATTTAGCATTCTTCCCCATGAGCAGGGTATCTCTATATTTTGGCTAGATCATTCATTTTGTGTTTAACTGAATGTAATTGATTAGATAAAATAGCTTAAAATAAATTACTGGCATATATGTTTGTATTGCCTTAAAGTGGCATATTGACACTGGTGATTTAAATTATAGTGTCAGGTTAGTTCCAGTTGTTTTGTACTTTTCTTTTTGTTCACTGTCTGTTAAGTAAATGCTGGACTAATTAGGTGTCATGTCAAATAAAACTGTTCAATTGTGACATTTTCTCATAGATTCTTCATTCAAAACTACCGATTTATTTTTGTTGTAGCATTTTCTCATATTTAGAAATAATTTCAAGTGATTGATGGAAGGCACATCTTGTCTGGAGGAAATGTGGAACCAGAACCATTGAGATGCTTTTTACTGTAGACCTGCCTACCTAAAACGAGTGATCAAAATTCAGATGCTTTCTTCAAAAGCACACATTTTGTGTGTAGAAGTTATTGAAACTTATTTCATGTTTGTTTTACATTTCTCATAGATAACTTGCTCCTGGAGCATCTTGTTCCCATGGAGCTGCAACTATTACTCAGGAACTAAAACCTATGAAATAAGAGAACTGAAAGGCTTATACAACCTTAAATAATGTTGTAGATTGCGTAGCCATTTTGCATAAGATATCAGATTGACCTAAAGTATTTCATTTTCTTCTAGTTAACTTTTTAAGTAACTATAACTTAGAATATAAAAAACTCATTCTAGCAAATACAACAGCTGTCTTTTCTATATCTCTGACACACATTTGTACCATTTTTAGTAATGCTTGGCATAAGGCCTCATGTTTATTTTATAAATGTATAGAATACCAAGTATTTCTTGAGTGCTTTATAAAAAGTAGGTAAATTTATATTTCTGGTTCCCAAGTGTTGACAATCTTTATTGTTTAGAAAAGACGAATAGCAAATAAATTCATTTTAATAATAATAATAATTGAAGCGTCCAGCTATTTAATGTTTAACAAAAATGCCTGCGTTGTCTTTTTTTTTCTCCCCAGAGAACTTGTCACGTGTATGTCTGTGTGTCTTGTAGTAGTACCAGTCTTTCACCTGGTACTCTTGCATTATGAGAAACAATAGGATCACTGTTTTCCAAACAGTTAACTCAAGTAATGCTTGTCTATGGAAGGATAAAGCCATCAAGCTACATAGCTTTCCATTTTTCATTAACACATGAAGTCAGTGGAATAACTTCATAAACATGTAACCCATGGGCAATTAAATCACTACATACTGTTACTACCTTAACAACTGGGGCCAGTGTATCATGTTTCTTTACTTGTGGTACTTTGTATTCTGGTGTAAAGGGGTCAGGATAGCATTTTGCAATTGTCTTACTAAATTGCTGAGTATTACCACTGTGTTTTGATACTATATAAGAGTTTAACCAACATCTGAAGGCAAAGAAATAGGGATGGAGGGTTAAAATTGTGGAGTGAATTGGGTTTGGTTATTAGTTTGTTTTTTCTGGCTATTTTGGGAAACTAATCCAGTCACTCAGCAACATTTACTACATAGTAAAAAGATAATTCAGTATTTGTATGTACTTCAGTGTTTGAGTGGTGTTCTTGTAGATTTTTAGACCAGAGTTTACAAACAGACAGCAAATTGCAGGAACATGTTTCATTTGGGCTTTCACTTAAGAGGGAGAACAGGGCCATCAGCTTCTTAGCTGGTCCCCTCAACAAGTATTCTATCTCAGAGATTTGGTAGCATCCCTTGTGGAGCATGGCAGTTACCAGTTAGGACCAGTTCCATCTGATTTCACAGGTCTGGTATAAGTGTAAAACGCGGCATTCTTTGAGATCAAAGCAGGTGGCTCCACTATCTTTGTAATCTAGAAAATAACCTTGGATTGTTCTTTTACCTCTTAGCTGGCTTCCCAATGGGCTATGCAGCGGCTGCTCCTGCCTATTCACCTAATATGTATCCTGGAGCAAATCCTACCTTCCAAACAGGTATGAAATAAAATATTTATTGCTTTAAAACACTCACTGCTTCAAAAGGGTTTGAGATCAGGAATGAAGGTGAATTCAGTATAGCAGTGTTCTTTCACTTGAAAATAGCTTACAAAACTGACAAACCAAATTACTTAAATTTGGTTTTGTTTGCTTGCTTTGGAGGCATGATCCACCTCAGCATCCTCTGTGCCCCCACCCCCCTTCCCCATGTGCTCTCCTTCCCTATATATGAGAGAAAATCAACACTTCTTGGGGGAGGTTTTGAGGCTAGACTGGTAGTTAAAATCCTTTCTGAAATTTTTGGTTCATTCCTTTTGTTATGCAAATTTGTTGTTACCCTTTTTGCATCTTGCCCTTAATTTCCAGGTTTGTGATGAAGGTTTTTGAAGGGATTCTGGAATATACCCTTTTCACTAACTCAGACCTCTAGCCTACTAAAATTAAGTTGCTGCCTCCCTGTCTTGATCATGTCCTGATCCTGCACATAGAAATTGTCTAGTGCACATAAATACTGTCCAGTAGTGGTTACGAACCTGGACAGTTATACTGTTCTTTTCCTACTTGGTCATGGGGAAGGAGCTGTGTTCAGCAGCTACATTTGCATGTTGCTTAGCTGAGATATAGGCAAGGGGAAGGATTGGAAGTTGGGGTGGGGGGGAAAAATAGATGCAGAAGGGTCCAAAGAACCAAAACAAAGCATCTTGGAAAACTAGCATTGTGCTAAGTAGGCTATAGCCTACCAGAGTTCATGTATTTCCAAATAAGTTAGTCTGTAAGGTGCCACCCAACTCTGCCCTCTGCCTAACCTCAGACATGGCTAACTGCTTCTCTCTACTCATAAGATAATATACTGTTTCATAGTGTCTGACAAAGTAGGATACCTATGAAAGAGAGACCTAGTTAGCCATTATTCTGTTGAGTGCAAATCTACCCTGCTTTCTGCCTACACAAGCTCATGCCTCTGAACTGATCTATAAGGGTATCTTTACATGTGCTCTAGGGAGGGGTGGGGGGAGAGGCATTTTAGTGGCTTCGAGAGCCCCTCTAATAAAAGCACCAGCATGGCATGTATTCAGCATCCCACAACTTCCAAACGGTTATGGGGGTGCTTTAAAGCTTGTTCAAGCTTCAGTTAAAGTGCCCCTGCTGCCTTTTTGAAGCATGGGGATGCCTGCTGTAGAGATCACCCAATCGTGAGCAGCCAGGAAGGTTTATACCTTCCCCCTCAGCCCTGCTGGCAGGCTCAGGCAACTGTCCCTAGGCTGGAGTTCAAGGTCATTATGCAGAAGAGCAGGGGCTGAAGGGCTTTGCACAGCCAGTTGCAGGCAATGCTAGGCTAACCCCACTTGCTGCAGCTGGCATGAGCACTTTTACGTGTGCTCCAAGAGCTGCTCTAATTAGTGCTGGTGCATCTCCTCTGTCAGTGTTCCTGTGCTTAGAAATAGTGGTGGGGGCACATGAGCTAAAGTTTGTTCATGTGTGTATTATAAATGTAAAACAAAGAAACAAAAAAGGCTTATGTGTAGTAGTTTAAAATGCCATGCATTATTACTAAATATTGGTTATCAGATCAGCATCAGCCAGTATGGTTGATTAATAATTGGCTATTGGTATTGGCCAAGAAATCTTTATGAGTGCACCCATAGAAATTGTTTATCCATCTGGCAAATTACTATGCAACTTATCTGGAGAAAATGTATCTAGTAATGAGTGCAACATATAAAAAATGACTGAAATTTCCTGCAGGATGGGAAGAAATGAATTGTCTGAAGAACCTAGTAAATTAGCTAACTTCCACTGGAGTTGAAGTGAGACCTGGCATTTTTTAAACTGCTGACCTAGGCAGTGGGACAGTAGTTCTCTGATCCTGGGAAGCAAGCAGTCTGTAGTATTAATACTTGGTTCTTGCTTCTGTAGTGTTTAACAGTACCTTTTGGTCTGTCTTAAGATTTTTTTCATGAACCTCCAAGAGCTCCTCCACTTGAAGAGCGTTAAAAATATGTATGCATGTATCCAAATTTAGCTTTTGGATGTCCATATACCATCATAATTAGTGGAAAATGTGTACTGGGGAATAGTTTGTTCCAGTTGTCGTGTAAAGAATCTGGTTACATCTGAAAGGAAGGTTTCAAAGGTTGAATTTTATTAGCCAGTGCTGGCCCTAGAAGTTGACAGAATACTGACAGCCATAGTCTTAGAGCCCAGAGTAAGTACCAACTCATAAATTGATAATTTTAAGCTTGCATAATGGCAGGTCCTTTATTCTTAAGAAATCGGGGAGACTTCTAACTCCTTCAGATGCCGCATGCCATTGTAGTGAGAGTTGATACAGATAATGCCTTAAAGCTTGCTTATTTCCAGGGCTGTGGGTTCCAGTGAATCATCAGCTTGACTCGGACTTGATCCTTAGAGGAAGGGAATGATGGCATTGGTTGAGGTGAAGGGGAGTAAACCATCTAAACTCTTACCTATCTGCCCGGCTTTTTAAACTTCTATAGAATAGTTGCTTCCTGTGGAAATATATAAATTTCTGAAATATATAAAGATCTGCAAAATGCTTTGTTTGGCAGATCCTGGGTCCCTGCTTCAATTTACTATATAAAGGCATAGCAGGGAAAGTAAATTCTGGTTTCTGCTTTCTGGTGATTTGATTTTGAGTTGAGAATAAGATAAGAGAAGATGGATATTACAAAAAACCCTCAATTTCACTAAGTCATCTCATTTTATCATAGTCTACAGTGAAGTCCAGGCCTCTAAGCCTGTGGGTGTTCAAGTGGACTGGTTTGTTATTCCAAACTGCAGGCTGTTGGATAGGACATGGGAGCCAGTGGACACCACCTCTTGCAGGGTAGACTTTGGCTTGAGATGCGAGAACTCTAGATGAATGCTGCCAGTAGGTGCTTCAGGGTATGTCTGTATGGTACAAAACAGAACTGTGCTGTGACGTTATGCTAACCCCTGAATGAAAATCAGCATAGCTAAGCTGATGGAACAGTCCTAGGTCAGTAACCTATGCTTAGAAATTTTCTGTGGATAGATACTACAGACTCAGGTGGAACTTGCAACTTCTTCCTTTGCTGTCAACTGGAGCTGTAAGAGAGGTGCCTGCAAAACAGTATTTGCTGGGGCCCCTAGAGAGAGAACTGCATTAGGAGCTTAACTGTCTGTTCATCACAAACTTACACAGTTATACTGTTTCCATTGTTACAGCACAATGCTGTCCTGTACCACTGAAGGCAGAAAATCCATCACCCATATCATCAAAATTCTTAACGCTGTACTGAAAAGCACTTGTAACTTGTTCTTACCTGGAGTTAGCCTCAGCTGACTAGTTACAGCCCCAGAACCTGTTGCAGCATCTTCATGGGGGCCTTATTGACTGCTGCTATGCAAGGCTCCTCTCTGTAAGCTGCAGTTGACAGCCAGGAGGAAAAAAATGTGCCATGTGAATCCATAGCTCTGCTCAGAAAGCTGGGATTGGCTTGGAAGTGTTTGTGGCATGCAAATGATGGTTTAAGAGCACTGTTTCTATTGGTTTGGATTCTCAGTAGTAACAAAATTATACCCTTAAAATAAATTGCTTGTGATGAATAGACTAAAATAAAAATGTTTGGTGTTCATTTGTTTTGTGTTTTAATTCAGAGCACTTCACTTCGTTCACATTTCATAACTTTAAAATTGACGTGTTCTTCTGACAGCTTTCTTGAGGAGTTAAATGTAAGATTAGATCAGAAATTTAGAATTTGATCATTTGTAATACATTTTGTGGTAAAGGAATTCCTTTCATTTTGGGGAAGTGTTAAAATTAGGTGGAACAGTGTCTTTTAAGTGTACCTTTTTTTTCAGTTTTACTTAACGTTTGTTAACACCATCGTAGGAGTTCAGAGTGCCCAGATGTTTCTAATTAAGACAAATTGGTTTGGGCAGCTGGGATTTCTAACTTGAAACATTCCTCAATTAAAAGGTACATTACTTATTTTCTTGATGCAATACTTAGTCTTTTCATAACCAACATTTTCTAAGTCCAGATCTGCCATACCCTTCCTGCATTGTGTGCAGATGTAACTTTTTTTTAAAGCTATCTGTTCTAAACTGCTGTGCTCTAAAAACATAATAGATTTGAATGAGGCAGGCATTTGCTCTCTGAGGGCAAGTCCAGACGAGCACGCATGTGCAGGGGCACGTGCAGCAGGGGCCTGTGGGTCTCCCAGTGTTAAAATACTGGCACCACTCTGCAAATTTTACAGTGCAGCGAATGGTTGTTTGCGGTTCCTCAAACAGCTCTGAGGCACTGCAGGCTGCATGTGTGCACTTGTCTGGACACAGGTGGGAAAAGAAGACTTCATGGCATTACTTAAATCTTGCATTTACACCTTCGAATAGTAAATGTTAATCTGAGAGCATAGTGCTTGGTAAGAGTAAGTCTCCTTGAATATATTGAATGTCTCTGGAGATTTGGATGCATTTCAGCAGAAATTATCTATATACTAGCCAGTTGCCTGTCAAGAATGACAAGGGGGAGGGGGCCTGGGATGGAGTGCTGCCACCTAACATCCCATGCTGCTGCTGTTCTGCCGCTTGCAGGGAGTGGGATGAGGGAGCTGAGGCCAGCAGCACTGGCCTCTGCTCCCCCACCCTCTCTCAGGTCCTCAGCACAACTTCAGGATCATGGCAGTGCTCCCCCACGCTTGGAGCACTCTGATTGGCTGTTTCGATCAGCCAATTGGAGTGTGAATAAAGCATTAGACAGACAGACTTAGTGGTTTTGCTTAATGCTTGGTTTTGCTTAACACTCAGTTTTTCAGGAACCAATTAAAAGCGCTAAGTGGGGGTTGCCTGTAACAACAATTTCTTTTTCACATTTATAGATCAGTACTTAGTCAAGTGATCTTTCTTATGTGTGTATTTTACTTCTCTGTCTAAAAATATGTATCATTTTGCTCATGAGGATGACAGTGGCCAGTTCCTTGTGAATCAGTATACTAACATTTTTCAGTATTTGCCCTTAGTTAAAATGCTGCCAAACGTGGACTTCTCCCTAGCAGACTGAACTAAGTCATTAACATTATTAGGGGATTTGCAGATCAGGACTGGATGCTTCTGAATATTTGTAATGGGGCCATTATTTCCAATGGACTTGCTCTTATACTATGGTTTACAACAAAATGATGGGGGGCGAGTGGAGAGGGTGTTCTAGCACCATCTGGTGGTTCCTGTGGAGTTGAACATAGATCACTGTAAATGAAGTTCATAGGACCCATCTGATGACCCTTGGGCTAGAAAGTGACTTTGACCTGATCTTAACATAAGGTATCTGACTGTGTGCATCTCAAGGGGCCTAGGTCTCTTTGACAGTCTCCTCTCAGAGCAGTATAGCACCATTGATAGGCTCTGCCTTCTGCTGGCAGTGATGTGCATTGCTGATTGAAGGTATTCATATTCCATCTCCTTCTGTCTAAGGACTGATATTATTTCAGTGACTGGTGTATAGTATTCTGCAGCAGTTATGGTGCTTCTCTTTGCTGCTATTTCTGCTTGTCTTGGCCATTGGTTCCATTATTCTGAGCGTCAAAAGCTTTGAGTGACTGGGTTCAGAGGAATTAAAGATCCATCTGTCCTTTGCTAATGCAGGTCTCAGTTAAGATAAGTCTCAGTTGCTGCAATTCCTAACCTGTGAGGAAACTCACTTTTATGTACTTCAAGATTCACAAAGAACATTCTGAAAAATAATGTTCTCTGTTCTTTTTCTTTTCTGTCAACATCTCTTTAAAAATTCCTCAGAACTTATGCAGATGCACTAACTAATTGCATCAAGGTGTGCTGAAGATCAGAGACAGGCATAAGTGCTACGTCACTTCTTAAAATGAAGTCCGAGTCATTTTAAGCATTCTCAAAACATTTGCCCTTTATCTTTCTTTACTGCTTGAGTTTGAGAACTTGGTTTTCAGCATTTACTTTAGCCAAGTCTGAAAATTTTAGCAAACAATTATGATCACATGTAGCTTAAGTGGAGAATATAGTGGAGAATATTACTGTATTCATTCTACTTCCAGGCTGCCTGAGAGATCTTCCTAGCATTTTCATTGGTCCTTATCTGAAGAGTAGGGTAGTTCTTCTCCCATTCAGGCTTCCACTGAAGTTTGTTCCTTTTTACAAAAGGATTGTTGGCTGTAACACTTACTGGGGCAAACTGGGAACTTATTAGCATTTAATGTATGCCAAAACATTCTGAATAGGTCAGACATACCTAGTTTAGTCTGGTAGAACCAAGTGTGTTGTCAGTGTCATAACTAAAAAAGCTGAAACAGATCTGTTAGTCAGTTTGAAAGTGGGGTGGAGTGGGGCGGGGTAGGATGTGGGTGGATGAAACTGTTTTCCTTCTGAAGAAAACATACCATATTTATTCAAATCCAAGATGAGGTTCTTTCCCCATATAATATGCGTGGGGTGGGAGGGAAGACCCTAGTTTTGGATTAAAGTACAAGGCAATGCTGGAGGGCAACTAGTTGCTGTGGCTCTGGCCTCAACCTGAGAAAAGGGATGGAGCCATTGCTGCTGCCTGCCTTCCTAGTCTAGGGCATGGAGCATGTGCTTACTCTGGGCCCAAGCCTGGTGGTGGCAGCAACTCGGGCTGGATTTGTTTGCAGTCATTTATGGTAATTTATTGAATTCTCAAATCAAACACGAAGATTAAGGATGAAAGTTTGGCAGTAGTAGAATTGAATATTATTAAACAGTACTCTAATGCTCATTGTCTTTCACCTGGCTTTCTAATGCAGACTCGCTTTTGTTGCAGGTTACACACCAGGCACACCATATAAAGTATCTTGTTCACCTACCAGCGGTGCAGTGCCCCCTTACTCTTCATCACCCAATCCCTACCAGACTGCTGTGTATCCGGTTCGAAGTGCCTATCCACAGCAGAATCCATATGCACAGGTAAGAAAGTGCATATATCTTCTTCCAGTTCTAGTAGTATTTTGCTTTCAGCCTCCATTATAAATGGTTACATAGTAAGTATTGCATTAATCTCCATGTTGGGGGGAAAATTATATTTTTAATTTGTAATGAGTTTTTTAATAAAGAATCTCAAGCATATGCAAAAATTAACTCCCTGTTCAGAATTTAAATTATGTTACAGATTGCTTCTTACACATATACCAAAAGTTCTGGATTTAAATGGGTGCCTAAAGGTACATTTCTAGAGTCAGCTTTAGAAATCTAAATGCATGAACTTTATTTTTCAGAAGTGCTGGGGCCCTTTCAAGGTCATACACACTCAAGTACTAAATGCTTTTGAAAATCAGGCTAACATTGAGGTGACCTAATGTTAGAACTTGCAAAGGTACTAAGTGCCAAAGTATCCAGATCTCTTAGGCGGTACTTACAAAAGTCTTAGTGTTGCCTAAGAAACCAAACATTGGTCACTTTTTTTTTTTTTAAATAAGGGCACTCTTTTTAAGCTTATGACCCTTATTTCAAAATACTGCCATAAGAAGGTTGCAGTGGCTGCTCCTCCTTTATGCACTTTTTTTGTAGCACTACAACAATAGCAGGGTCTTTCTGTCTTAGTCTCCATGCTGTACTGTCCTTCTGCTTTTCCTTATATCAAGCTAGTATTCTTGTGCAGAGCACTTCCCTCGTTGTCCAGCAGTATAATGTCACTGAGCTTTTTAAGGATCGTTTTCACTGTTGTGCACCTCTGTATCCTTATGTGGAGCAATGGACAGATGTGCTGTTTGGTGTGCTTCAGAGGTAACTGAAATGGTTCAGATAGCAAGGGTGTGCACTGTTGAAGAAGCACTACAAAAATGGTCATCCAAATAAGGTCTTATGGCATCCCAGTGTTCCTTCCTGCAAACGGAGAGTGTTCTGCTGTCCTCTGGCCCACAGGCATGCAGGGATTCCTGTTCTCTAGCCCGTGGCTGGAGAGAGTGCTGCTGCATGCCTTGGTCATTTTGAAGTGCCATACAAGGTTCAGGGGATAGCTGCACATCTTCATGGCACCAAATTTGAAGTGTTCTGGGATTTGGAGTGCTTCAAATGGATGTCTAATCATGCCCTAGGTAACAGTAATGTAAATGAGGTCACATGATGGAGCTGGGCGGAAAAGGACAATCACACACGCACGCACGCGCGCACGTGTCATCTGGCCTTTAGCCAGGGTGAAGAATATTGTAATTCTGAATAAACTTGTTTGCAGAGATTTGGGGAAGCATAATTTTAGGCCTTAATAGAAAATATGTGGTCTTCTAGCTATCTTGCAACCATTTCTACTTAGCTGATCAGGGAAGGAGATACAAATAGCTGTCTTCAGCAGGATGGATTATGGCCCCTCACTTTGCTAGAGACCTTCCAGTATTGCTGGAAAGCATTACTGCAGAACTCTAAAAGCAAAACTGGCACAACTGTAGGACTTGGGTGACAGGAAGTGACTGATGCAAAATGTCATACCTAGAGTAGCTAGCTTAATTCTGGATGCAACATTTTAAGCCATTGGGTTATCAGATCTCAGTTGGATAGAAGATGATTCTCTGTGCAGCACTTCTGAAGCTTTCAGTTCTCTATTAAGTGTTCCTTTTTAGTCTTTTCTTTCTAATCCCACATCATCATTCCTGTTTCCCAAATAACCCATTGCTTTTTTTTCCATGGGAGTTAAGTACATGTGTATAAAACCAATCTGAGAACAGAATCAGGCTTTCTTCACTTTGCTTTCATGAACATCTTGAAGCATGACCTCAAGGTGGATTGGTTTAAATCAAGGTGATTTTTATGACTTGTCTAGTTTGGTTATTTTCTAAAGAAAAGCATTTTCTCTGGATGATATGACCATTTGTAAATATGTAGATTTACAACTAAATATGCTAGGTTTGGGACATCTTTTTGCTACTGAGGAGGGTACACAATTATATTCATTTAAGCAGTTAGATAATTTAATATTTATAGATTTTTATTTTACATTTTAGTGTGTCAAAATGGTGAATAATGCATTGATTATGTACTACATAATTAACTCTTTCCACATGATTTACATCAAGCAGCTTCTTTAGAATGTTAACTGGAATCAAGCATGCAAAACGGCATATAGCACGGGTAACCAGCCTGTGGTATACATGCCACAAGTGCTATGGGCAGCCTCTGTTCTAGCATGTGGTAGATCTAGGAGAAAGTATAAAGCAGATAAGTGAAGGGAATCAGAGTGGCACTCTGGGGATAATTTGTGGCACACCTGCCAAAAAAAAGGTTGGATGGAATATGGCATTTTGTTTCGTTTAGATTTTTAAATTATCTTAAATGTTTTGGGTACATAAACTTGTATGTAAATTTTAGACCTGAGGCAATTGGAGCTCTCAGAGGGAAAAGCTACAAAATAGGAGTCGAGCTTACATAAGTGGGTGTCAAGTAAGACCTGAAGAGAGAGAAAGATGTGATGGTTTCCTAAATTAGACTGGAGCCTAACACCTGTGATGACTTTGATCTCTTGCACACAGTAGTAGATTCCCTGGCTTCTCCATAGGGTTAAATCCTTAATACAGTCTGTGACTTATTGGGCATGTCTACACGTGCCTATACAACAATGTTGCTACTGTGCTACACACTGGGTACATGGTTATTTTTAGCTACTACTTTGCTGTAGAGGAGCACTATGATGAGGGAGTGCACTGCTACGGCAACATAGCTACTGGTCACGTGTTGACACCTGGTCACTACATCACTGTAATGCGTTGCAACCATGATGTAGCATCGCGTGTAGACATGCCCATTGTCATATTTATGAAGTTTGATCTCAGAAATTAAATGATGTTTTTTTATCCTGGTTCTTTTTCACACTGATAAGCAAGCAAACTAACTCAGTTTTTGGGAGGTTCATGGATTCAGTATATTGTATGTCTAAAATGATAATTTCTTAAAATATTGAAGGCTTTAATATGTTTATATTACATTTAATTTTTTAAAACAACATAATATTTTAAATGATTAAAATGAAAAGGCTGATTTTGAAAAAAAAAGATAGGTTTTTTAAAGAGATTTATTTCTGAAAAAGAAAACCCAGATGTATCAACCTTTGAAATGGTTTTAGTGGTGAAAATATTCTAAATTTACTGTTCTTTTCCAACAGCAAGGCACTTACTACACACAGCCTTTATATGCAGCACCACCCCACGTAATCCATCACACCACAGTTGTGCAGCCTAATGGCATGCCAGCAACCATGTACCCTGCTCCAATTCCACCACCAAGAGGAAATGGTGTGACTATGGGAATGGTGGCTGGGACTACTATGGCAATGTCAGCAGGTACTTGGATTTGTATTCCTTACACACTTTATGGTACACATGCATTATATGGCCAAAATGTATATAGGCACTAATATTTCACAATATCCACTAACTTAAACTTGGGAGGCTTGTGTAGTAGCATGTGAATTGTAACGTATTCTGACTCAGTCTGAGTACTCTAGGATGGGTCAGGTAAACAATCTAGAATATAGGAATGTATTGAAAAGGAAAGCTGACTTGATGTTCCAGTTGCACTTCTGTCCAAGAGACTGCCATGATGGCATAATCATTTGGTGCTTAAGAATTTTAAAGTAAAACTGTTTCCAGTTGATTTGTTCAGTTAACTGAATAGAGAATGTTTGTAGTAGGAACCTGCTATTCTGCACTTGAGATGGACAGTTTTAAGACCTGTACATAATGCAAGTATACATGGTCAGAGTGGTTGGTTGACTGTCACAGTTGGGGCCACCCATGTCCTACCATGACTTGTATTTACTAACATCATTGGAGGACAATGTGAATTGTACAACCAAGACCTAGGGAATACTGTTTCCTAATGCATACATATTACACTGCCCAGTCCACTGTAGTGCTAAGTAGGGGTGTGCGAAGCGGGCCCTATTCAATTCGGACTTGGATTTGGCCCGAATCAGGGACAGTGATTCAATTTGTTGATTTGGATCACTGTCCCTGATTCAATTCGGCTGAATCCAAAGATTCGATGCTGATTCAGAGAATCAGCAATTCAGACATAAACACAGCTTTAAATGTTTTTTCTACATACCTCAAGGTACCAGCGTGGTTTGTAAACGCTGCAATGCTGGGACACATGGCGAGTCCCACAGGAGTGCAGGGGGGCCCTCCATGTGCTCAGCAGCAAACCTGGAAGTGGACCGGAAGTGCTTCTGGTCCACTTCCCTGGTCTGCTGCTGAGCATGCTGGGGAGCCACCTGCGCTTGTGTGGGACACTCCATGCACCCCAGCATTGCAGTGTTCACAAGCCACCTGGTACCTGGAGGTATGCAGGAAAAACACTTAAAGCTGTTTCTATGTCAGAAGCACCAGAAGGTTCCGATTTGATTCGAAGAAATTAAAGGGTCCTCTGATTCGATTCGGATTCAGAGATTTGGCCACCGAATCAGACTGAATCTCCACTGAATCAAATCAAGGACCAAAACTTCGCACAGCCCTAGTACTAAGCTAGTTAGAATTTAAGCAACTTTTTAAATCCTGCACAAGCTGGTGTCATTTCAAGGCCACAGCTGTTCTAGAATTAGACTTCTATTTCTTATGTGTGTGTCTGATGCTTCTGCCTGAAATTTTGAGTGTGATTGTTATGTGAAGCAGGTCCAGATGGCACAAGGAACCTGTTTTTAACCAAGCTGCTCTTTTGTAACTCAGATTTCAGGTGTGTTGATGCAAGTAAATTATTTTATTGCATATATTGTCTTTTGGACTGTTGAACTCTAGATGGTAGCTATCTAAGACTGGGGATGCCACACCCCTCAGCGAGAGGTTTTTGTTTTCAAGACCACCACTGTTTTGTAGACACGCATTGCTTCTGTGTGTTTTTTCCTTTTGTGTGTGGGATAAGCTGGAGCAGACAAACATTCTTAACTTCCTGTATAAAATGCTGTTGGGGGGAAATTAAGTAGGATCCTGAGATTCCAGTCAGTCTGTTTCCTTTTACAGTTCTTCAGTCTGTAAAAACCCACTGGCATTTTTTCCAGACAGGAACTAAATTATTCTGATTTATCAAAATGAAATTTCTTTAGCTTCAAGTGTTCCTATAACACAGCGCTTGTTGTGAGGAAAAGCATTTTTCAGAGCATAATGCGTTCTGTAAGCAGGATTTTTGTGGGTTTTTTTCTAAAGAAGTTATAAATATCTGCACATGCTTTGGACAAAATATCAGTGACCCTGTTCCATAAACATTTGAAGGAAAATTGATTGAATTGAAAATGCCAAGGTACAGTTTCACAAGCATTGAAGTGCAGTTTCTTCCTGCATCAGAAGATGAGCAAGGCTCGATTTTATATTTGAAACAACAGTTTACAAGTGCTGAAAGGTGAATTTCTGAAAAATATACAGTATAAAAATGTTCTTTGTTTCCTAGGTACTTTGTTGACCACTCATTCCCCAACTCCAGTTGCTCCTCATCCAGTTACTATGCCCACATATCGGGCTCCAGGAACACCAACCTATAGCTATGTGCCCCCACAGTGGTGATCATCCTGGCAGTGTAAGTTACCAGTGTTCATGCTGAAACAGCAACCTGTTTATAAATGGCTGTATAACAGTGTACCTCTTTCAGGAGATTTCACAGGAGGGAAATTCCCAATATGTTAATTGAGTGAATACTAAGACCAGATTATTTCTGAAATATTATTTGTTAATAGTAGCTGTACAAGAGGGGAATAACTTTCTGGTGAGACTTCTTCATTGTCTGTATCATTTAGAGGATGAATATATGCTTTGATTCCAGTTATTTGTGCCCCTAGTACCTGCTAGGGCTATGCAGAGCTTCGCTTGCTGATTTGATTCGGCCCGATTTGGTGGCCAAATCTCTGAATCGAACCAGGAGACCCTTTAATCTCTCCGAATCAAATCCAAACCATCCAAATTAATTCAGGGAGATTTGGAAAGATTTGACAATTCGAACGTAGACAAAGCTTTAAATGTTTTTTTTTTCTACATGTCTCAAGGTACCAGGCGGCTTGTTAATGCTGTGATGGTAGGGCAGATGGAGTGTCCAACAGGAGCACGGGGTGGGGCCCAGTGTGCTCGGCAGCAGATCTGGAGCCTCCGGGTCCACCAGGCAGCAAGCTGCCACCCCCCCCCCCCCA